AAAAGCCAAGAACCACCCAAGGGACTCGACAGTTTTCTTCTATCCGGAGAAGCGATTTAGTATGTACAGCAGCAATTCACCAGCTACACATTCACCTTGACTTCCACATACCTCATCTAAGGATGGAAAGGATAGCTTGTTACTCATGTCCAAACAATCCTTAGTTGTTCCAGTAAGATTGACAAGAATGATGATAAAAGGTGGCACGTTTGTTAAAGGCATTTTTCTTTCTAATGGCAACCTAATTGAAAACCAACTGACTTAATAATTTTCAGTCATCACCAACCTGCAATTTGCACAAACCCCAACAAACCAGAAGTGAAAAACAACAAATGTCATTATAACCTATCAAGCCAAACAACCTCAATACCATCCCTATTATTTATACCTGCACATTTCTGACAGAGAAATAAAATCTAAGTTCCAGGAAAAATGCAATGCCACTAGAATACCTTGCACACAGCGCTCTGAGCCTCCCATTTGAATTTGAACTGATTTACTTTCAACAGTGCTGTCTGGGGACACAACGATCTACCCAGCTGATGAGGTCTTTTATTTAGAGAGGCCTCAAAAATCTCGCAACCGATTTCAATGGACAATTTGTCGGTTTGAAATAATAAGCATTTTAAGGTCTTTACAGAATCAACGACCTACACATTTACCTGTATTTAGATCTGCTCAAAGCACCTTGTTAATGCTTAAATAATAAACAGAAACCACAGTGGAAATGAGGTACACGTAATTCAATTCTGCCTCTACAAAAAATACTGGAAAATAAATCACATATGTGTAATAATAGGAGAAAACTAGATTATTTTCTGAACTCACATAAGGCAGTAATTAGATTATTTTTCAATTTTTCCACTTGGGATTATTTTTAATTGGGTCAACTGAATGTGAATATGTGATGTTAGATGTGAATAATTTCAAACCAGCAGCGTTTTTTTAACAAGTTTGATAGGGAAGGAGAAATAAGAAAGTGAAATGTAAGTACATCAGTACATCTTGGGAAATAAACATGTATGTTTTGTCTTTAGTTTATTTTATGTAACTGTTAGGGCATTCCCTTCTGTATCCTTAACACCTCCTATTACCAGTGTTGACAACTCACGAAAACAGCCTGCTTACTCACCAAACTTTCATCGGGAGAGATAATAATACACAAAGTACTTAATAACACTCCCTACAACTCTCAGCTCACTCTCCTACCCCGAGACTTATGTAAATGGCAGGTTTGGCAGCGTTCCTTAGCTGTTAACAATCCTGGACACCAGCAGATCAAAGGAGATCAGAGGTAGGTGTGCCCTCGCGCAGAGTACTTCCCCCCCGACTCCCCGGCCCTTCCCAGGAGAGACCTCAGCTCACCACTTCTACTGACCAACTGGACAAAAAAACGCAAAGTGGTTTGCTGCTGTTAAGGCTGCTTTTCATTTTGCAAAACTGTTAACTGACGCCTATGTAGGAGCGAAGGGCCCAAAATAGATGGAGAGCAGAGATCATTTTCAGCTCTTTCACAAGGGGCTTAGAGGGACTCTTATCTCTAATTAGGAAACTGGCTGTCACAGAAAGATATGTTCTGATGTGCCTTACACTAAAGTCAGCTGTAGTTTAGATATTAAAATAGCTGAAGCAGGATTAGTCACTACACACCGAAAGAGAGAAATAAAGCAGAGTAAGCTCAAGTAACCTATCAGCTCTTTGAAGAGGAATTAAGCAACTGAAAGCAGTGATATCAATAGCCAGTCAGTAAGCGAACAAAAATATCCATTTTAAACTATTTTAAATCACATTTTAATTTTTACCCTCAACGTTACGTAAAATCACCACTATCTTTTAAAATGAAAATGTTTAAAATCAGCCCTGTACTTGTTTTCACACAAAACCAGAAACTAGACCTATAAATTCTGAAATCTGTTGGACTTGCTCATGAGCTAAAATCTAACAATTAAAGGAGTTCAGTGGCAGAAAAAAAGCCACAAAAATGTTCCTGCAGTCTTAAAATAAATCTATTAAGCATCTACAGTTTTTTTTTTCAAAATTAAATCTGTAATTTGAGTATCTACAGAGTAATAATAAGTAATTTGAAATATAGCAGCTTTTAAAATGTATTATGAATGCATAACTTCTTTTCAAAATGGATGCCAGCTCTTTTGCATTCATTTCATATCGTGGCAGAGGAAAGAGAACATAATCGAGACGCATGAAGGGCGGCACAGGACTGGGACAAGCTGTGAATTCCAGCTCTGCATTCTTCCAGGGTACTCTCGTGCACCTGGATAAATCTCTTAACTCTTGGCCACATCTAACGGTGCGAAAATTTGGCGCTGTTACTAGTAAGAGAAGCCATGGTGTAGACGAGATGTGGGTGTTGTTGTGGGTGTCCCTGCTGCTGAACTCCAGTATTCAGAAATTTTACAGGCCCCATGCCTCAGTTTCTCCATCTATCAGCTAACATTTATTTTTCAACAGGGAGATTGTTGTGAATCCTTGGAATAAATAGTTAATGTTTGCAAAACTGCATTTTTGACACAATACGATACAAGACTACTAAACACTATTACGGTAAAAGGTAATTAGAAGGCCAGAAAGCACATGTTTGAGATCACGATGCAAAATTAGAAAAACTGCAGGCTGTGAGATCTGTGAGGAGAAAGACAGAAAAAAATCCTCCAATGGAAAAAAGAGGATGATTTAAAAAAGAAAAAAGTAGCTTCCTTGCTATTAAAGGACTTACATTTTAAAAAGGCTGGGTCCCCTCCTCTTTTATGCTTCCTAGGATGATACTTGCACTGCAGTAATCAAAACAAGGAAGCAGATGGACAGGCAAAGTGGTACTGCAGCTGCTGCAGAAGATGACTATAATAATAATGTTGACATCAGTAACGGTAATTAGCGCACAGACTGGAGAATGGATGATTCGTTTTCCTATCTTCTGGCGTGGGCATGCTGCCCTAGCAAATGAGTATTAATGTTAATATCTTTAGTTTGTTTTGCTGGTTTGCACAGTTTATTAATGAAATCGAACACAACTGTTTGGGGTACAATAAAGAAAACCCCACTTTTCTCCCTCTCCTGTACATGTGCTGATGAAAACATGCTCTTTCCGTTTGGATTGCTACTAGGTGAAATTTTCATGCATAAATGGCAAATTACCGATTTATTATTTATTTCTATTTGCAACATACACAGCAATTCATGCTTTCCCATACAGCCATCTGTATATGCACTCTTGAATTCTAGCAGCATCTAGTACTTGACTGGTTTTGTCTAAATAGCAGTTTTACTGTTTGGGGTAAAACCCATCTGCATGTTGCCGCCATACATCAGGGAACACTACAATTAATAGGCATAACTGTGAGAAGGGTGAAGCAAAACACTGCCTTACACTGAACCATCTCAGGTGAGAAGCAAGTAAAGCAGCAGTACTGTCAGTAGTCCTGGGTCATGCTAAGAGAGTTTTGGTAGAATTAGAGAGGCAAGAAGGACGTCCCTTAGCTGTTTCACTGAGTGTGACAACTGCCCAGCTCGGTTTTATGCTATGCCAAAATACCTGTTGAAGAGCAAACTAATTGGAACAGTGAAAAGTGCAGAGACACAAATAGATGGATTTTACTTGGGCTATGCAATTTGTCACTTAGATGCAATCCTGCAATATAGTGTCAATGGGAAGGAAGGGCAATCAGCAATATCATGGTAGATGTTCAGCATATTACAACACAAAAGCATCCTATTTCATTTTCTAATGAGCTTTTCCTTAGTTTGCATCTAACTGCTTCGAGGTTCCTTTTCTCTTTTCATTTATTCTTCAGAATGATAAAGATTTCCTTTGGCTTTCCTCCATTATCACCCTTGACAACTAGAAAAACTCCTATTCCCCTTGTAAGTGCTGCTCTCCAAAAGGGCCGAGTTGAACTGAGAAGCACAGGCTCAGGACGGGAGCCACTCATGAATGTGAAAAGCTCATTTTTCTCAGCTCCCTTTCCATCCAAATTGCTCCCAACTCCACAGAGTTCCTCCCCTTGTTCCTAGGCTTAACTTTCTCCTTGAAAATGCTGACCTATTGAAGGTATCCACCCAGGCAGCAATAGATATTTTTTGCTAAATCTCATTTTTTTTTAATGAAGAATATATACTAAAAGTTTATAAACTTTTTGAGCTTTTTTACAATACAGAAGGAAAAGCTTAACAGGTCTCATGGAAAAGTGATGTTCTATGCAACATCTTTTGGAGCTGGGCTTAGCTGACAGAGAAACTTATACCCTGTGTTTAACCTTCATTATTTGCTTCTACTGTTGAGAAGATCGCATTTGCATATGAACAATTTCCCCAATGTATTTCAAAAATTAAATTCATGCAAATTAAAAATCCAGCCCTTGGATTTTTGGAAAAGGAGATGTCTGCATAAAAACACCTTTTGTTTTTGTTTCTTCTCATCTAGGTAGGTGAGATAGGTCCAGTAATACTGTTCCTAACACTGAAGGAGACCATTAATCAATTTATTCCAAATAAGAAGAGAAAACAGTACAAATGAATGGAAAAGACTAGGTATTCAGATCTGGGACATTATAGGAAAAGAACAGCCATAATTATTTTTCGTGGAAAGAATCGCCAAGAACTAGAGAAACAGATGGCTGAAAGTGCCAGATATCACAAGGAGACCCATTCTCTTATGCAAACTAATACAATTTAGTAATTACTCAAATCACATAGTATTTTATGGAATGACATCAATAACCAGTAATAAAAACTGACAGTGGTGCCTTATCAGCTCCCTTTAAAGAAAGCAGAAGAAATTATAAAAAGAATATGTTTATACTCTACAGATATAACCCACAGACCATAAACATACCTTTCAACGCTAAGTCTGATTTGCACCACTTTCGCGTTACTTTAATTACAAAATTTTTATGGAACTCTAAAATTGCAAACAAAAGCATTCCCTCATCACATTTTCCTTAACAGAACCACTAAAACATATTTCTGCCAAATTAAAACTTTACCTTAACTATTTCCTCAATGAAACAGACATGTGAAACAGGATCTCTTTTCTTTGCCAATACTTTCTGTAAATGCTGCACCTGTAAGAGAGTTTTACGAGAGGAACAGTGACATTTGCTAGCATCTTATATGCAAAATTGCTTGACTAGACAAACAGGAATTAGCTTCTGAATACCTGTCCACAAGCAGCACAGATTTGATCCATGAGTTTCTCCATGTTTGTCCAGAGAGCTGCTCGAAAAGCTGCTGTGTTCCCAGGTGTTGGCATAGCAGCTCGACCAGGGCCACCTAAAAACGTATTTAAAAACTCACAAAACCACACTTCAGTTTTCAGGTATGAGAATTAAAATAGCATTACCAATGTAGACCTCTATGCACACACTGACATAAGAAATTTTCCAAAAAAATCAGAGCAGGCTAAAATAGCTTGGAAAAAAGCGTTTGTGATTGTCCTCAGTTGTCTCAACTAAGAAGTCAACTTAAGTCTGAAGTCCAGTGAGGACACCTTAATGTTCATCACTATTAGCTGCTTTACTGATTCACAGTCCCACAGAAACACCAAGACAATGACCACTGTTGTATGATGGAATAGCAAAGTGAAATGGAAGAGGCAGCCTCTGTGAAAAATACAGATATGAGCAGCTCAGCACTTGTATGCATATGTGAACTGCAAATATGTGATATCCCAACTGAAGTGTAGGCAACGTTTACGCTATCAGGGGCTGTACTCCCTTATTACGCTACTGATACTCTTTTCAGACCCCAAATTTGTTACAATACTTACAACATGTTTAAAAGCTTGTGTTCCCAAAGTTAAAATTGTCCCCCGCTCAGTACTCTTTGGTATCTGAACTATCATGTGGAAACTAAACATTTAATGACGCAGTGTTACCTCATGTTACCAATACTGCTTTGGGAAGATTTCCACCCAATAAAAGCATTTTAATGTAGTGTGAGATTGGTTCCACTGCTTGCAAATAATCTCTGCCCATGATCCTCCCACCAATATAAAGAAGACAGAATTGGATTTATCTTTGTATGACAAACTCCTAAGAAAACGCTACAAATCTGTAAACTAATGAGGATAATTTTCTGGGCAAGTGCAGGAAAAAGAGTGAGGGAAGGAAAAAAAGGAAAAACCCTGAGCACAATAAAAACAATCAGACTCAATTCTGTCTTTGTATTAGGTTATTTCTGAGACTTGTCTATTCCCATCATTTAGTGGTTAAAGCAAGCAGGGAAATGTTCCTGTAACAGACTTGGATGTGAGAGTTTCTTCCATTTGACAACATACTGCAATTTTACCAAAAAAAAAAAAAAAAAAGGTATCATTCTCTGTAAAACAAGTATCATACCTCTTGTAACAGTTTGAGATGGCTGGGTCAATACTTTGATATCCAAAGCACTTTTTATGTTCTCCTCCAGGACTGCGCAGTATCCGTCCACCACATTAGCAATGGTATCCTTCAAAGTTCCAAGGTTATGGAAAACCTGAAGAGCAGTTCCCACTTGAGTAGGGTTCTAGAGGGAGAAGATTATCAAAAATAGTGATCATCTACAGATTTTTTTATCCATAACGAGGCATCATTTTATGGGGCAAGTTCATCTTTAAGTTCAGTCTGCTGAAATTTCATTTAACAATGAATAACTGGTATCCTTACTGGGTAACAGAGAACAGAAGGAAAAGGCGGGGGGGGGGGTGATTCCCTTCATTGCTTAGCAAGGAGTTCTTCCTTTGGTGCCATCCTCTGAACAAGAAGAGGGGGGAAAAAAAAGAAACTGGAAGCACTTCTGGCAATAGCTTTCCTGGGGTGGGTTACCAGTGATTGATCCAATAATTCCTAGGTTAGTTACAGCACAGCTATATCCAGCTATGGTGTAGGCAGCAATATTGTTTTAACATATGGTATCTGTTACAGTGCTGTCATTTAAGTGCCAAACAGCTGATTAAATGTGATACTGGGTTAAAACATATATATACACTAACCATGGGCAAGCAGAGGCAAGCAGGACAAGCCCCTACTACTGCATTCTGCAGAATTTAAGCTTATATTTCTACATTTCCATTTCTAGTGCTGACACTAACTTCACCTTCTTCCTCAGAATAGTGCAAAACACCACAGTGATAACTTCCAAAGCCTGCAAAAACATAGCTGAGGTGCCTCTGTATCATTCAGAGCTTTTCCAAAATTCAAGAAAGTGAAAATGATCCAAAAAGTTTTCAGGTCAATTGTTTAGAGACCTTTGATTAAGAATAAATCTGATATTTCCACTAAGCAACGCTAAACACTGGCACTGGAGCTATTCAGCAAGAGAAAAGCCTCAAATTATTGCCTTTAGAAACAACAAAGTACTGTCATCCACACACTGAATACTGCTTTTATATTTAGCATTCATAGGCAATTAGCGGAGGGGACAATCAGTTGATCACACACAGATTAGAAATGCAGTCCTTTGTCATTTTTCTTACTGACTTCTACCAGCAGTAAAGAACACGGTCTGGCAGAAATCGTGGCACCCAGGCCAGACAGAAGGATCTGAGACCACAGGCGCGTCCCACTAGAAACCCCACTATGAATTTCCTCTAGCACTGAGGCCTTACACCATTGCACTCTTCCTGCTTGTGGCCGGAGCAGTAGTGGCCACCAACAGTAAAAGGGTCTTCTGCAAGACGAATGCAACTCTGCTTCACCTTCCCCTGATCAGTTTTCTTCGGACGGACACAAGTGCGTCTCAAAGAAAGAGAGCGTGCTCATCTGCCTCTCAACTGTGAGGAACCTGCACTTAAACCACACCAGTAAAGCTGTGATGTGGCTGCTGTACCACTTGGTGGTATGTCCACCTAGTCCAACATTCTTTCAGATCCACTGATGAACAGTGCACACGCTTCAAACCTAACATTTTGGAGGTGACATCACTATAACGATGCACTCACGTCACACTTTCTAGAGTTTCTGTATAACTATAAAGATCAGTTGAAGCAAGAAAGCTAGATCTCTTCTCCTCTCCCAATTCCAGTGAGGAATTTCCAGGTTTAGTTGAGAGAGATGGAATATCAGGCATGCATTTTGGTGTGCACACCTTATACTAGCTATACCAGTTTCTTTTTCCAAACAATGTGGGTGTTAATGAGCACTCCCAGCATAGTATCATGGGTCTGGGACTTGTAGGTTTAATTTTTTGACAGTTGGGTTTGCTGTAATATTTCTAAGAACCCTGTGAGTGTGCTGGGGAAAGAAAGAAAGAAAGCCAGAAAGACTAGAAGATTAACAGGATGTCAGAAAATGAAGAATAGTATAATGCAAGAAAGGAATTTAGGGACAAAATGAACACGAGCAAGAACATATAAAAGGGAAGAGGAGAAGGAATACAATGAAAAGAAACTGGAAGGAAGAAAAAAAAAAAAGAAACTGAAAGGAAGGGACACAAAGACAGAGAAGATTCACCAGTTACCAGTCTGCTGGTATATTTATAGAATACTTGCACAACTATAAATCCTGATGACAAGATAGTAATATAAAATCAGTGCTTTACTATGATAGTGAGAGCACTCAACCAGGTTCAAGTCAGACTCTAGTAAGTGTTCATATATTAACTAACACAAAAATAGAACAGCATCAAAAGGCGAATTAGGCACTATCCAGCCTTGAATAACCCGTGGCTGAATACTCTCCTGATAAACAGGATGTCTTGTCATCCTGATACTCTCCTGATAAACAGGGTCTACAGGCAGTAACCGTTTCGGGCAGAAAATGAACATCAGGGTTCCCACATCTAGGTTAGTAAACCTTGTAGCTACTGGTCAAGAAAGAAATGAAAGCTAGCTCCAACTGTTCATGAGCTATGTTTCAAAAGAGCTTTTTTCTGGCCACACTTGTTAAACAATTCATTCCAAAGTCAGGAAAAGTCAGTCAGTGAATAATCAAAACACATTCTTACGGAAATTTGCTATTCACTGAAAAACTTTTTCAAATCCATAACCAAAGTTACAATCAGAGTGGAACAAATGGAACAAAGATTATGCAGAAGCTCTACTCCTTTATTGCTTTAGATCATGGACGTGGCTCCCGACAGAAGTCCAATATTCATTTCGCATAACAGGGATCAGATACACATTAAAATCCTGACAATATATGATAAAATACTGTGTTTGTGTTATATATCACATTTTTTTCTCTCCTTAAAAACAGTTTGTGTTTTATTTACCCTAGACAAGCTATATAAAGCACATTGTTGGTTTATCACTAATCCTAAGAGAATTGCATTTTTTATGCACAGCTAGATTCTAGGTTTAGACATAATATTTAAAAAATGGAACATCTCTTGGGAACAACTGCATTAGGTAGAAACAAAATGTTGGAAAGCAAGAAGAAAACAAACAATTGTACTAGCAGGCTTGCATATACATCTCAAAATTAGACTGTTTAGCATTAATACATACTGAACAAAAGTTTGAAAACGAATACTGTAGATTTTATTTAGAATAATTTGCCCCCTAACATTTTTTCTTCCTTTTGAGAAAACTTAAAGCTAACCTTCTACATTCTGAGATGTTTGGGATTCATAAGACTGCCACAATCTTTATCAAAAGCATGCAATGCAGGAAGTCAAAGTAAATAAACTGTCTACAGAAGTGACTTCTTTACCTACAGTGAAAAATTGAATTACAGTGCAATCTCAGAGAATAAAATTCAGAACAGCTATCCAACAAGAACAATGGGGAAAAATGAAATAATTATTTTTGAGAAGGAATTTAATGAGTTTATTAACGAGACTTCATAATCGAGTTGTCTGCCACCATAAGTAACTACACTCAGTAATTTTTAGGTGTTCTCCTTATAAGCCCCTTCCACAAGATCCTATCTTCCTTTTCATTTTAAATGCCTTATTTTGTGAACGAAGGCTCAAAAGTATTATTGCTCCAAATGTAAATCAGGCTCTAAACACAATAGGTTAGCATCTTAAAAATATTTATACATATACTGTAAACTTTAAGTTATAGTAATCAAGAGAGTGGGGCACAAAGGAAAACAGTACTGCATTTAGTACAATGCTACCAATACAGTACAATATAATGTGTATAAACACAAGCATACGCAAACAAAATAAAACATAATCCCACAAACTGTAGGTCTGCAATACTACCTACCGGAAGATCAACTGCAGTGATCTTCAGATGGCAAATATTACAAAATCATGAAATAGGAGAGATGGAGTTAAGTCCAGAAATAATACCCTTCTGCATTCAAACTGCAGCGCCATCAGGCAGGTCAGTGTACGCTACATTACAGATAAACTGCAATTAAATTCAGCAGATTTAAGAACTTAGGAAGACTTTATGAATCATCAGTTCAACACATGATAAAAAAAAAAAAAAATTGCTTAAAAGCAAATTCTACCACAAAAGCAACTGGCATAGATTTTTAAAGATATCACAGCTTTTCTTTGTCCACTGGAGATTACATGGAATAGCTCAATTATCAAAAGGTTGATGTTAGCCAACACTGAAAACAGGTATCTGTGAATGTTTCAATTTATGCTTTACCAAAACATAAGATACGCATTCACCAGGGACTATGAAGAAACAGTACCTTTTTACCACAAGTATTATGCTCATTTTCTGTATCTTTCAAAGCTGCTCATTTTAGTAACGTCATTTTTGATTCATTTTATCCCATCTCATTTGGTTCTGTAGGGCCAACAGAGACAAGGGAAAAAAAGAGACCGAGAATCACCATGGGGCCAAAAGTATGAATGTTGTCTTCAAAAGTATATCATGTAGTTGTTTTCAACAGTAGTGGACTAGACTCAGTAACCCAGAAGATCTCGTCCAGGCCAGGATTAAAGTTACAGTCATTCTGCAGCGTAGAACCCCATTTGGTCACTTTCTTTCCCAAAGAGAGAATAACACTGTAAAGATTAGACGAGAAAAATGTCTTTTTAGACTTACACTCCAAAAAAATTAATACATCCCAAATTTCTCATTTGTAAATATCTTTTAGGATGGAAATAAGTTATTTTTTTCTGTCAGCTGCCAACAAAACAATTGACTATTTTATAATTTCCAACACTGTAGTCTTTTATTTTATGATGGTCACTACTGTTATCAGAACAATTTTCTAAAGGTGTGGCTAATTAAAGACCAATATTATTTTTCACTATTAGAAATATAACTTATACAAGCAAGCCTGCTTCTCACAGAGGAGTGAGGCGACGACAGTGAGCTAATTTGGGGACAAGAAGACTCCTAGCATGATGCTGAACTGAAAACAAGCAGCCTAGACGAGAGGCAGAACTAATTGGTTCAGGTGCTACAAACACGGCCTCCAAAGCCATGCTGTTGCTTCCCGGGGCATGGGATACGCCACATGGCCTTTTCTTCTCCAGCCAGTGCTGTCCTAGAGAACTCTGCATCATGTTTCTTCACGCAGTGCTAATCTGTCCACAGGACCACAGGACGCTGCAGGGTTTTTTCCTTTGTGGACTATAACCTTTCTTCTCAATCAAGATGTGTTAATTCC